AGCTGATTACAAAGATAAAAGAAAATAAAGACAAGCAAGTCAGATATGGTTGTGTAGAAAAATTATCGTAGAAGACAAAGGTATAAACAGTTTACCCGTGTATTTCCTCTGAAAGTGTAAATGAGCGCGATTCTAAGGGAGGTGGGTACTCTGTGTAAATCAGAGTTAGATACCTTGTGTTATTATTATACTATGGGTAAAAAAAATATTACAGAAACAAGTGCCTGTGTTCAATGGTACAGTTTATCTATCAAGCTCTGCCCCTTGTTTTTCCCCAATACTGGATTTCCTCTTACCCAGAATTCTTTGCACCTGACTGACTCCTAGCTCCTGTCTTCTTTCTTCCAAAACCTCTCTAAGAATTAAAACAGTTTAATGAATTTAATGACTTTAATTTTTAAAAAACACATAAATTAATTCTTTTACATTGTACAAGTACAGTTGTTGAAGTTCCCTGGAACATCATTGCAGCCCACCCTCTTTCTGTCTGTGTTAGATGTAAATAAATGTAACTAATCAGTGATGTTGTAGAAGTACTTTTTTGTAGCCCCCCCCTCTTTCTGTCTGTGTTAGATGTAAATAAATATAACTAATCAGTGATGTTGTAGAAGTACCTTTTCTAGCTCCAGCCTTCGTTCTGCCTGTGTTAGATGTAAATAAATGTAACTAATCAGTGATGTTGTAGAAGTACCTTTATGTAGGCCTCCTCTTACTGTCAGTGTTAGATGTAAATAAATGTAACTAATCAGTGATGTTGTAGAAGTACCTTTTTGTAGGCCCCCTCTTTCTGCCTGTGTTAGATGTAAATAAATGTAACTAATCAGTGATGTTGTAGAAGTACCTTTTTTGTAGGCCCCCCTCTTTCTGCCTGTGTTAGATGAACCTGCTGACTCATCTACAAAGTAACGTGACTCCCACTCCGGAACATCTGATTCCACCTCCTCCTCCTCTTGTTGTAAATCTACAAAGTGAGATCAATCTAATGTTCAAAGAGAGGTCAATCAAATGTACAAAGGGAGATCAATCAAATATACAAAGGTAGATCAATCAAATACACCATATAAAGGGAGATAAAATGAAATGTCCAAAGGGAGATCAATCATAGGGTACAAAGGGAGATCAATCAAATGTACAAAGGGATATCAATCAAATGTACAAAGGGAGATCAATCAAATGTACAAAGGGAGATCAATCATAAGGAACAAAGGGAAATCAATCAAATATACAAAGGGAGATCGATCATAAGGAACAAAGGGAGATCAATCAAATATACAAAGGGAGATCAATCATAGGGTACAAAGGGGATCAATGATAGGGTAACAAGGGAGATAAAAAAATACGTTGAGAGACCAATTTAAAAAAAATATAAAGGGAATCAGTCCATGCATACAGTATACAAACCAATTAAACTATCAGATACAGATTAATCAAATCATGCTAAGGGAGATAAAGAATCAATATAAAAAATGAATAATACAAGGAGAGATCAAATATAAAGTGAGATCATTCAAGTCATACAAAGGGTGATCATCATTCAAATTATATGAATGGAGATCACTAAAAGCATGCAGAAAGTCAATTAAAGCACAATTTGATTAAAATAAAATCCCTTGATCTGCTCACATAGATTGCTACACAAAGATCTGAAAAAAACCCATTCAGGGTCATCTCCTGATGACCTTTCTAATAAAAATATTCATTAAAATTTTGACCAATCAGAGAGATCGTATTTAAATGACATTTGGGAAAATGAATGTAGAAGAGAAAGTAGCTGTGGAGAAGATATTATTGTTTTGTGCCAAAGAAAGAGCTAAAAACCAAGTTAAAAGCAAGTACTTATTATATATCCGTAAGAAAAGACTGTAGCCATTCTCTTAGCAAGCTACGGAAACTAGGTCATGATTTTCCGTTCGTGTGTCATCTGGGTTTTTACTTCTGTAACCGAATTCTGAGATACTCTAAATTCTTGGAAGTGAATGTTTGATTGGATAATTGAGATGTCATCAGGAGATGACCCTGAATGGGGTTTCTTCAGATCCCTGTGTAGCGATCTATGAGAGCAGATCAAAGGATCTGATTTTGATCAGATTGATTTTAGCAGACAAAAAGAAAAATTGAGTATGATAATTTATCTAAACCTATATTTTACAAAGCTGACCTTCTTTTTTAAAATATATATTTCTTAAAGTGAATTTGAATTCTATGTCACAAATTGGAATATGCGGATTAGCGTTATTAACTTATTTGAGAGGATTAGATTATAATTCTTGGTGATTTCCAGGAATCTCTCAGCTCCGTATTTCTTGACTTTGGCTTTCGGCAATCAATCTACACTTGCTGTCATCTAGTCTACAGTTAGTGGAGTCTTTTCTGCCAACTGTCGCAGAGTTAAAATTGGGAATACAGTTGTGTAGTTACGTAGGCCATGCTCAGCATGCAGCTGCAAAAAATGAAGAACTATAAGCTTAATCTTTCTTCAATATAATGAAAAAAGAAAATTTAATGTTTAATTTTTAAGAAATCCGTATCTTTAGATGTATCACTCACTTGCAAAGTTTGTCAACTAGCCTAATTTTAAATTCATGCACAGAGGAGAAAGTCAAACTACATAGTGAGACAACCAAAATTTCTCATTGTGTAGTCATACATATTTTTAACAATTATAATAGATTTATAGTGTGTGTCTCATCATAATACCAACTCACAAATGTAGTTGTAACAGTGATGTTAATTTGTTTTCATTGCTATTGCTATTAGATAATCAATATTATTATCCTTCAGAATTATACAGTCAATCTGATTGGTTTAGAGCAGGTCACGTGCAGGGAGACAACTCGTGATGTCTCCCTCACGCGCAGGGTGACAACTGTTATCTCCCTTCAGATGACATTGAAATAGTGTAAGCGAGCAGGCAGAGTTACAACTGTGTTGTCGCCCTTTGAATAAAATTACAGTGGTTTAGGCGAGATAACTCCTCTTTATAAGTACAATGGCTAAACATACGGGATCGGTAAACAATAAATTCTAACGATGACGTCAAAGTTGCCTGTTGACATATTTTGAAAACTGTATGGAATCGGAGCAGAGTAGAAGAGAACAAGAGGTTTGATTACTATTTTCTACTCTATCTGATTGATAAGTGTATATTCTTCAGGATAATAAAACTATTATGGACTGTTTAGAAGGGAGACATCACCAATTATCAGGTCTGAGTAGGGTTGTCACCCTCGGGCGCAAGCGCCCTCGGGTGACAACCCTACTCAGACCTGATAATTGGTGATGTCTCCCTTCTAAACAGTCCATAATTGTATATTGAATAACTGATCAGAGAAATATCACACTTTTCACAGAAACTAGCATAGAATTAGACAATATTCGAATTCAACCTTACCAATTGTCTTTGCCATTTCTAGCAGTTCGTTGAGACATTCTTCGATCACGTTCTCACGTTTACTGACAGGTTCTTTACCGATCTTAGCCACTTCAGTTCTCTTCCTACTGCCCTGTACCTGTAACTCTACCTGTAAAAAATTTATTTTTCAGAAAGATAATGTGTGTAAACAGTGAAAAAACACAGAAAAAAATTCAGGTGGACCAGCATGACTGACTACTCAAAAAGCCTGTCAGCTCTGCCATGTCATCTACACTTTCGTTAATAATGAATTTTGAATAAATCATATTGCTTTAAAAACAATCAGAGTAAAATCTCATTTCTTGAACTTGATAGGAATGAGAAAAAAACCTTGATAGATCTATTTGAGATAATGAGGGTAGAAAAATCAAAGCATTTTTTGTACATCATGTCCATTCTCAAAAACATCTGCATTCCACATATAAAACCACTTTAATGTTCTTTTTTTTTTAAATTAGAAGATATTTCCCTCCATACATGATATTGTTGGGGAGCCCTACCTTGCGTTTACCCATCATCACATCGTTGGCTTTAGGTCCAAGCCTGATATAAAAAACCGTGGTGTCTGCCGCAGTAATTTTTAGATCCTCATGTAAAATGGCGTCAATAACCAAATTTCTTAGTAGTCTTTCAGCATCAGCCCTGCTGTAATTTTTACCACGACCATGAAGGGGTATTCTATCATGTCCGGCATCAGAAATTTTACCAGTTTTAGCTCCTTGAAATGTAAATTTGGTTTGCATAATTGTCATACAGTATGGTATGCACTTAACTAAATGCAAATATTGGTGATAAAACTATAGTAAATACAGGTGTGAATATGGATTAGACAGCGGTAAAGTTTGTTTGCCATTTTACTGTAAAAATAACTGAATGTAATGTTGACAACACTTTGCTATCTTAAGTAATACTAGAAATAAGTCACATACAGTAAAAAAAATGCAGAGGAATCTTGGTTATCCAGAACACGGCCAGGAACACGTTAAGATCCAAGACAGTACCGTTGTCAGAAACATTTAAAGTTAAGCACTAAAAATGGCTCGTTGTCATGAAAATACAGGTAAGGTTATGACAAAAACTGTCCGGTGTCATTACTTTAGAAGACAGGTCGTGAGCAGTTTTTCATTTTTTAAGTTAAATAATTTCAACCAATGTCTGAAATTGCAATGGGGAACAGGACTTACATCCCTTTTGGTGTTGAATGAATTTCAGCCGTTAAAATGAAGTAATAAAAGAGGAGTTTGCGTTGGCAATCACATGCCCATGTGTGAAGTCATGATCGTCAGTCTGAAAATTTAATATTTCTTACATAAAATTTATCAAAATGGTCCTTTTATTTTGAAATATGAAGAAAAACTTAATTTTACATGTGTTAGGCAACTGAGAGCCTATTCTTTATAGCAGGCTTTAAGAAATCGCAATTTAAAAGCAAAATGTCCGTTGTCAGTACATGTTAAGTTTTCCTCGTCCGGTGTCTTTTTCTTAACATATAAGTTTATCAATAAAACAGTCTGACTAAAGCTAGTCCCTATTTCACTTTGTTAGAAGTAAAATAGTAAGGGCTGGTTTTAGTCAGACTGATCAATAAATACGTATATAACAAAAATGATCAAATGTATATGTACTCTTAAGAAAGAGAAAGCATATTGCAGAAATTTTTTAATCTTTTGGGGGGTCGTCTTAGGAATAGTGTATATAACTGAACGTGCGTACCATTCTCTAATGATTTTTAATATATAGAGTGCAAAGGTATAACAATTCCTGAAATATTATCAGGAAAACAAAAATAAAATATTGGATCTACAAAAACTTAAAAATACAGAAATTTTTAATACGTATTAAATTATTGACAAACAAGTTACTGAAACAAGAATATCAAAAGTCTTGTTTTAGAAAGTCATAATTTCATAAGTTCCTTGGTCGAAGCAATGATCTTGTCAGCAAATACAATTTATCATGGAGTCAAATGCTGACTGACGTTTTTCATAGTAATTATTAGGCAATTTTTTACACATTGACGGATTTTTCCCGGTACATTTCCCGATCAAGACAAGGGGCACACAGTAGGTGTAAACGGTAGACAGAGGATGTTCACTCCTAAAAGATTTTTTTTGAATAGGCAAGGAAATTTATTCAAAATGAAGAGAAATATGAACCAATGACTCGAATCTTTTACTTTGAGATATAAGCTCTTAAATTAACGTTTGCATAAAATCTTTGAATATTTTCTCAATGTTAAAATATAATATAATATATATAATAACAGATGATATAATATTTGAATACATATTGTTTTTCCGCCCACCGCCAATTAAAGTTATAATTTTCAAAAGTTAACATATTCGAAGGATTTTTAATATATATTTTTTTTCATAGAGTATTATATAAATTTTCACAAAACATTACTTATTTGGGAAAACAAAGAGAGATAACCATAAAAATTTGGTAAAACTTTTGTTTTTCACAAAAGAAATCAACGAAAAACGGACCCCCCCCCCCCCCCCCCCCGTGAAACAAAAATTCTTTTTTACAGGTGATATGGACTATTTTTATTAAAAAAATTCAAACCAAAGCTTTTTGTTTTTCAAGGGGGGGGGGGGATTTGTATACTTTATAGACAAAAAACGACAAAAACAATATTATCATAGATATGTTTAAAGACAAAAAACGACAAAAAGAAAAACAAAGTTATCACAGATAATTCAATTTAAGCCGCTATGAGAAATCTATTAAATCTTAAACCGTCGGGTAGTAACCATGGTTACGGATTTTTTTAATCGAAAAAAAATCTTTGTTTTTGTTGCGCCATTTCTGTAACCCTGTTAGTGCGATGGACCCCCCCCCCTCCTTTTTATGGGTTCATTTTTGTATTATTTTGCAATCTGGTCAAAATACGATTTTTCTTATAGTAGTAACTTGTCATCTGGGATTGGTGCAATTGTTTGGACGCCTCCAAGGATTAACTTATTTATGTTATATTTTATGCATATTTACATGTAAACTGTTATTTTCACTGCATGTAAATTTCTAGTCAGTCTCAGGGGGATCTTACTTGTACCTTTCATGCACCTATGTTCATGTTTTATCTTGTTTTGTTTAATATCAGGTGATCCCCCTTAATGGTTTCTTATAATTTTACTTTATGCCATTCAAGTGAATGAAATAATCGACAAAACTGCATATCTGTGTTTGGTTATTTTTTACTGCACTGTCAGGCTGATATTTAAATGCTTATTTTTTCACCAATTTCGAAGCGATTTACAACTGAAACATTACATTTTATTAATACATTTATTTTTATAATTTCTTTGCCGAAAACATAAGAAAATATACTAGGTACATTTAATCATATCCAAGGCTATTTCAAAATATGGTGATCTTTCAATGGAGAATATCGTCTACCCTCGCCCCCTTTTTAAGCGGTTAGCTTCGCTAGCCGCTATATGGCATGTGTCGGCAACCGGAAACCTCCATAAGGCGCTACCTATCGGCATCGCTTTATCGCTCGTAACCTTATCCTTCTGCAACCAAAACCGGAAACTTCCACAAGGACCTACCTATCGACAACGGTAACTTCAGCAAATGATTTGTATACTGTCGGCGTAATACGCCCCCTGGTTAGAGATTGACAATATGCTGTGAAGTCTGACTAAAGCCAGCCCCTACTATATCACTTCGTACTAACGAAGTATATGCTGTGTATGAAGAGTGGCTATTATAACGATTATATCGAATTCTTATTAGTATTGACATTAGCATTGACAATACTTACAACACTTACTTTTAAGAACTGAAAATTTGGTCCTTATTACATGTGTATCGCGCGATCGCGATTTCTGGCAACTGTTAGTTCAATCTGACTAAAGCCAGACCTGCGATAGCGTAAATAGAGGTCTGGCTTTAGTCAGATTGCTGTTAGTTTATTTTTGAAAGTTTATTATACAGCAAGTTGGAGGTTATTACAGACTGCAAAAACATCAGCAAATCTCTCGATCGAGTTTGATTTTCCTTGCCAAAGTATTAAGAAACACCATTTATTAAGTTAATACCTGAAAAGCGCTTTTATAAAAACACCGAACGCATCTGTAAGTTTTACACTTTTCGTAACGTTTTATGGAAACAATAGGGTTACCTCCACTATAAAACGTTTGTTTTTCTTCTCTTTTCTTCTCTGTCTAATAAACAGATTATAAAAGCTCTGCTCCCAGGGATAAATTCTCTACTCCGTCTTTGATAATTTATAACAATCGATCATAAGGGATTACTAATTTTAATCAGCATTGTGATCATCTTCTAAAAATCAACCGATATTATTTTCACAGAAGAATGAGGTATGAAAAATTTCGGCAATTAGCAAAAATGTAAAATATATACTTAATGCTTATTTATAAGTTTTGAAAATTTGATCAATTCCTAGGGAACGTATTATTAGCTGTGAAAATACTTTTAAAATTTGAATTTGTCCAATTTGTCGATTATTGTTTTAAACGTTTGAGAAGAATAAAATTAAAATACAGGTGTTTAGAGACACATTGATAGAAAAGAAATCAGTGTATATTGTTTAACCGACATATTGAAGAAAGTGACACTGATAACTTCTTAAGTTACACTGATTTATAATGTACATTTGAATTTTTAAATACTAGTATTGATTGATTACCTAACTTTCCTTTTCATGTTTTATTTGAGAACAATATTGCATGAAAAGTATATGAGAAAAACACCTTATATGTCCTTATCTAGATATTGTGCCTTATATTGTGCAAGACTTCTTTCAAATGATTCTCATATACCATTTACTTTATTCGAACATTTACTTATTTGAAAAGTCAATAAAATATATTTCATAAAGATTGATAATCTTGTTTACTCGCCAGTCTTCCCGTAGAAGTAGTAGTTTATAATATAACTAAAGGAAGTATTCAGTATCTGTATCAAAATACAGAATGATCAATGATCGATTTTAGAAGAAAAGCTGACTCCTGAAAGTTCAAGAGGTGGGATCCGTTGCCTAGAAAAAGTAAGCATCCCTCATTGACAGGTTAATTATATTGCCACGATGAGCCTACACAACTGAATCTCTCTGATATCAATTCATTTACAAAGTCTCTCCTCAGCCATCATTTTTTTCTCTGACTAGCCAGCTGTAGATCTACACTACTCCGAATCCATTAATCTAAAGAAATTAACTTGTCATTTTTTTAGTTGTTTGTTATAGTAGGCTTTACAATCACCTAATTTCAGATTCAATAGAGAATAAAAGACAATGAAATTTTGAACATCAACATAATTTTTTTTTATCCAGAAAACAATTGGATGCCACCAAGAAGGAATTTTTAAAAATGCACTTCCTGTCTTTCAAACTGAAGAAATCTCATGTTTAAATTTTGAAACATGCATTTCAATCTTATTAAAATTCATTTAAATGTTCCAAATCCGCTTCCGCTTCTGAAACATCTAACATCCCATTCGGGGTGACATCAGAGCGACCTTTCAATTATGAATACATGTACAAGTAAACACAAACACTTTGGCCTTGTAGATTCAAGCCTCGGTAAACAGTTCTCAAATTAATTCCACGGCTACATATCATCATTATTGATACTGTTTTACGTTGAATTAAAGTAATTTTGGAATAAATTTCATGCAGTCTGGGTATCTAAACGTGAATAATGCAAACAAAAGAGCACAAGCTATACAAGATACCCCACACGTCAT